AAAAAAGAAGGAAAGGAAAGAATAGAAATTCATCAGTCCGCTGAGTTATGTGTGCTAGAAAAAAAAAAAAAAAAAGTTTTTTTTTTTTAAAGCCCTGCATAACATTACAGGCGGAGTGAATGCATCCTTGTTCTCCGTGCCCGGAGCCGCACAAACAGCTCAGGGTGTCGAGCGCAGCGGAACTGCACTGGCGACCCCGGCGGTACAGAAACGGGCTTCTGATTTATTTTATTTTATTTTTATTTTGTTAGCAGTGGGGAGATGCGCTTGGGTTTTTTTTTCTGCTGTAGGAAGTAGGGGGAAGAAAGAGAGGGAGAAGCTAATTTCCTGTGAAATGAGAAAAACTTGTCAGCGGGAACTTGGAGAAAAGCAGGGCCTCTGTTAGCCTTCAAAGAGAGAGGGCGAGAGAGAGGGAGAGAAAGAGGGAGAGAAAGAGAGTGGACACTTTTTTTTTTTTTTTTTTTTTTTTTCCAGAATAGATATAGCACGAATTTTTAATTCGTCTTCCTTTCACAGACAACAATACTGGTTTTGAAAGCTGGGCACAATTTGGGTTTTGTCAGGGGGTCTCCCAGCCCAGCTGGCCATATGGGATACAACATGTAGAACATGTCTAACAATGAGCGCAAGTGACAGCCGCGACAAAACGCAAAGGACGCTGCTCCCTGACTCCGCGATGCACTGCTGCTGATAAATGCATTGAATAGCCCTAAAAAAGAAGGCTGGGAGGAGTAGGGGGAGAAAGAGAGAGAGAGAAGGGAGAGAAGGCCAAAGGAGGGGGCTCATCTCCCCCCAAACTGTCTCTCCTTTTTTTCCTCCCCCCGCTCCCAGCCCTTGGCTCTTGAATATGCACGCCTCTAACATGCTCACCTCCCAGCCTCCCCCATTGTGCCCGTTTTGTGAAGTCTACTGTATATTGTGCAAAGATAGACTGCCCCGAACCGGCCCGGCAGCATGGGAGATATAAGGCCACAGAGGTTAGGGCCACACAACTGGTTTTATAGACTTGAGCGCAGATTGGAGACGAGGAAAAAAATGAGGGAAAAAAATATAATAAAAAAGTGAGTCTTTTGCTTCTCCCCCCCTTTAAATTGATTTTTTTTCTTATTTTTTTTCATTCTCTCCGCCTTTTCAGAGATTTAAGGCTGCACATACTCGTGCCCATATAGTAAGCGGGGAGGTAACTCCCTGCATGCCACATCGGGCTACGGAGACATTCGGCATTCCCGTGTCTCCTAATTCCAGCAGGGCGCAGAAATTCCAAATAAATAAATAAATAAACAAGTAAGTWAAATAAGGCCGCTTCCTAGCTTATTTCCATGTTTCCTGGGTAAGAAGCAAGCGGAGGGAGGAGATGCATTTTTGCTCCTAACCCTGAGCGATGGGGAAAGACCTCCCCAAGAGCTGGTGCCCGCGCTCCGCTCCTTGCTGCAGCTTCTCGGCTCTGGGAACGAGCTTTGGGATAAGTTTTCGTTTGTGGGGGTGTAAAGGCAGAAATGGAGAAGAAAAAAAAAAAAAAAAAAAAAAA